CCCCCCCCCCCCCCCCCCCCCAAAAAAAGTTCTATTTTTTTCTCTGCCCCCCCCTCCCTTTTTTTTTTTTGGGTTATTTCGGTGTCGTTTCGTTATTTCTCATTTTGGGGGAGCCCCTCGCGCCCCCTCCCCAATTTGGGGTGTCACGTGTCCCCAAACCCCCCAAAAAAATCACCCAGAGCCCCCCCAAAGCACCACCCTCACCCCGTCCCCCATCAGCGAGGCGCCCTGCTCCTTCCAGACCCCCCAAACTCCCCCAGGACCCCCAAAATCCCCGAATTTTCCCCCAAATTCGCTTCAGGGCCGGGCGCTGGCCCCGCCCACTGCCGGCGGCTGGCCCCGCCCCCGCGCGGGTCACGCGGGGCGGTCACGTGGCGCCCAACATGGCGGCGCCCATGGCGGCGGCGAGCGGCGGCTCCGTGACGCGGCGGCTGCTCCGGGGCGTCTCCCGCAGCCTCAGCGGCGCCGGGGCCGCGGCCGAGGAGCCCGAGGCCGCCGTGTGGGTACCGGGAGCGCCCTCCCGGGGCGGCGGCGCCGGAACGGCAGCGAGCCCCGGCGCTGAGCCCGGTGTCGTGTGTCCCCCCCCCTTTCCCCAGGGTTAACGTCGTCTTCGTGGACCGGGACGGGCGGCAGGTGCCGGTGCGCGGCAGAGTCGGTGACAACGTGCTGCACCTGGCGCAGCGGCACGGGCTGGAGCTGGAGGGTCGGGACCGGGGCTGGGACCGGGACCGGGAGCGGGACCGGGAACGGGACCGAGGCTGGGACCGGGAACGGGGCTGGGACCGGGACCGGGAACGGGAACGGGGCTGGGACCGGGAGCGGGACCGAGGCTGGGACCGGGACCAGGAACGGGGCTGGGAACGGGAACGGGGCTGGGACCGGGACCGGGGCTGGGGCTGGGACCGGGAGCGGGACCGAGGCTGGGACCGGGACCAGGAACGGGGCTGGGAACGGGAACGGGGCTGGGACCGGGACCGGGAACGGGACCGGGGCTGGGAACGGGACGGGGATTGGGAACGGGACCGGGGCTGGGAACGGGAACGGGGCTGGGACCAGGAACGGGGCTGGGACCGGGACCGGGAGCGGGACCGGGAACGGGACCGGGGCTGGGAACGGGACCGGGGCTGCTGAGGGGGTCTCGGTGTTCCTGGGCCGTTCCCATGGGGCTGTCCCGGTGTTCCCGGTGCTCCCAGGGCGGTCCCGTGGGGCGTTCCCGGTGTTCCTGGGGCAGTCCCGGGGCGGTTCCAGTGTTCCCAGGGCGGTCCCGGTGCTCCCGGAGCGGTCCCGGTGTTCCCGGGGCGGTCCCGTGGGGCGTTCCCGGCGCTCACGGCGCGGTCCCGGTGCTCCCGGGGCGGTCCCGGTGCTCACGGCGCGGTCCCGGTGCTCCCGGGGCGGTCCCGTGGGGCGTTCCCGGTGCTCCCGGGCCGTTCCCGGTGCTCCCGGGCGTTCCCGGTGCTCACGGCCAGACCCTCCAGGGAGTGGGGACCCCCCCTCAAAAATAAATTCCCCCCCCCATCCAAGGCCACCCTCACTTTTAGGGATGTCCCCAAACTGCCCCCAAGGGGGTGGGGGGTCCAGTCCCAGGGGCTGACAGAGTGACCCCCTCCCCAAAAAAGAATTCCCTTTGTTCTGGATTCGGGATAACGAGCGTTGGCTCATTAATTAATTAATTAATTACTAATTGGGCTCCTTTGGGTGCTGCTTTGGGGGGCTTTGGTGTCGGGACGAGGAGGGGGCTTGGGGCTCGGCCAGGCTGGGGGTCTCGGGGGGTCCAGGACAGCGGGCAGAGACCCCCGGTGGGCTCGGGGTCGTTTATTGGCTGTGGCTCCCCCAGAGCCCCCGGCCCAGCCCAAATCCCTCAAATCGCCCCCAAATCCCCGAGGCACCGGGGCGGGGGGGTCAGTGGGGACCCCCAAACCCCCTCCCCACCCGGCCAGGGCAGTGCCAGCAGGCGGCTTTGGGGGAACCCTCAGTCCTGGATGTTTTACCCCCCAAAATCCCCCCCAATCCCCTGTGGTGGGGCGGGGGGGTCTCTGGGGGTCCCCAAACCCCGCGGGGATGGTCCCGGTCCCGGTCCCGGTCCCGGCTGGGCGATCCGGCTGCCAAACCCTCCCCGTTGTCGTGCCGGTGCCATCGGGCACCTCCGGAGGAATCCCTGGCATCCTCCCAAAAAAAAAAAAAAAAACCCCAAAAAATCCCTCGGGGCCGGCCCCGGGGTTCCGGCCGGCCGTGCCGCTGCCGGTGCCGGTCACGGCGGGCTCAGCTGGATGCCGAACGCCTCTCCGCGGGCCTCGCGGTGCCGGTGCAGGCAGGCGGCCTCGGAGGAGCCCTCGGCGTCGCGCACGTTGTACTCGCCCTTCTTGCACGCCGTGCTCTTCAGGTAAAACCCGCCGGCCGCCGCCAGCCCCAGCGCGGTGACGGCGCCCAGCGCTCCCAGCGCCGCCAGCGCCACCAGCCAGCTCTCTGCGGGGCGGGAGGCGCCGGTGACACCGGGGCCGATGACCCCCGGGGCCACTCACGCTCCCCGGTGCCACTCACACTCCACGCGGACGGTGACCCGGCGGCTGCGCGTCCCCAGCGCGTTGGTGGCGTTGCACAGGTAGGTCCCGGCGCGGGCGCGGGTCACCGGCTCGGGCTCGCCGGTGGCCACGGCGACGCCGTCGCGGCCGCACACCACGGTGGGCGCGGGGTTGCCGGTGGCGCGGCAGGACAGCGCTTCCCGAGCGCCCCGCACCCACGTGCGGTTGCCGGGGCAGCCGCTGGCCGGGATTTCGGGAAGATCTGGGCGGAAAAAAAAGAGATTTGGGGAATGCCGGGAGGGGCGGGCGGGGCCGCGCCGGTGCGACACTCACAGAGCACCTCGAGCCGCGCCTCCGCGTCCTTTGTCACCACGCTGTCGCCCACCGCCAGGCTGGCCCGGCACCGGAATTCTCGGCCGTCGTCGTCGCGCCGGGCCAGCAGCCGGAGCTGCAGCCGGGGCTGCGGGCCCTCGGCCAGGACCCCGCCGTCCGCATCGCGGAGCTGCAGCCGCGCCGCGGGCGGCTCGGTGGCCCCGGCGTGGCACGTCACCGTCACCTCGCTGCCCGCCGCGGCCGGGGCCGGGCTCAGCTCCAGGGCGGGCGCGGGGAATCCTGCGGGAAGGTGCCGCGGATGGATCCGAGGGGATCCGGGGGTGCCGGGGTGCCCCCGCCGCCCCCCGGCGCCTTACGGTAAACGTGGAGCTGCCTCCGCGCCGTCCGCGCCGCCGTGGCCACCGCGGCCGTGCAGCTCAGCTCCCGCGGGCCCGGGCTGCGCGGGGACAGCTCCGTGCTGGCCGTCACCGTGTCCCCGGCCACCGCCACGCTGACGTTCAGCGGCTCGCGGCCCAGCGCGGCGGTGACACGGATGTCCCCGGCCGGGAAGGCGCCGGCGATGCGGCAGCTGGCGGCGGCCGCGGTGCCGGCCTCGAGGATGGCGGGAGCCTGGAGCTGCGGGGGCTCCGGGAGAGCTGCGGGGACACCGCGGGTACACGGGCTCACCGGGACTGGGACGCGGCCCCAGAGCAGGGACAGAGCCCCGGTGACCGGGAGGGCGACAGCGAGGTCACCGCGGACTGGGAGAAGGACACAACGCCGCCGCTCACCGAACACCGAGAGCGTGACGGGGACAGCGGCGCGGGCGAACAGGGGCCCGTGCGGCCGCAGGGACAGCTCGGCGTGGCAGGTGACGTCCTGGCCGTGGTCGCCGCGGGTGGCGGTCAGCAGGTGGCTCACGGCCACGCTGGCGCTGCCCTCGGCGTCGCCGAAGCTCTCGGTGCGCAGCGTCTCGGCGCCGCGCCGCAGGGTCACCGTCAGGTTCCGCAGCGGTGCCACCTCCAGCACGTGGCACGTCAGGTTCCGGCTGTCCCCCACCGCCACCGGCGGCACCGGCTCCAGCTCCACCCGCTCCGGCAGCTCTGGGGACGAGGCCGTGCCACCGCGGTGTCCCCGTGGTGTCCCCTCAGTGTCCCCACGGCGTCACCCTCGGTGTCCCCTCGGTGTCCCCACGGCATCACCCTCGGTGTCCCCACAGTGCCACCACGGCATCACCCTCGGTGTCCCCTCAGTGTCCCCTCATTGTCCCCACGGCATCACCCTCGGTGTCCGCACAGTGTCCCCTCAGTGTCCCCACGGCATCACCCTCGGTGTCCCCACGGCGTCACCCTCAATGTCCCCTCAGTGTCCCCACGGCGTTACCCTTGGTGTCCCCTCAGTGCCACCACGGTGTCACCCTCGGTGTCCCCACGGCATTCGCCCTCAGTGTCCCCTCATTGTCCCCACGGCATCACCCTTGGTGTCCCCTCGGTGTCCCCACGGCATCACCCTCGGTGTCCCCACGGCGTCACCCTCAGTGTCCCCTCAGTGTCCCCACGGCGTTACCCTTGGTGTCCCCTCAGTGCCACCACGGTGTCACCCTCGGTGTCCCCACGGCGTCACCTTTGGTGTCCCCTCATTGTCCCCACGGCATCACCCTCGGTGTCCCCTCGGTGTCCGCACGGCATCACCCTCGGTGTCCCCTCGGTGTCCCCACGGCATTCGCCCTCAGTGTCCCCTCATTGTCCCCACGGCATCACCCTCGGTGTCCCCTCAGTGTCCCCACGGCGTCACCCTCGGTGTCCCCCCGCCGTCCCCGGCACTCACGGTACACGAGCACGCCGGCGCTGGCGTTGGCCTCGGTGTCGCCGCAGCGGCCGGAGCAGGTGACGGGCCCGGGGTTCCAGCGGGACACGTTCTGGAGCCGGAAGCTTTGCCAGCGGAGCCCCCCGGCCCCGGGGGTCGCGGCCAGGGGGGTCTCGAGCCCCAGCGTGGCGTTGTCCCCCGGGCAGGCGCTGCGGCTGCAGTTGACGGTCACCGAGCCCCCGAAGGCCACCACGGCCACCCGCGGCCAGGCCACCACCGTGAAGGTGCCCCGGGCGACCCCTGCGAGACCCCCACCACGGGCAGTCCCCCCAGTTCCGGCTGGGGGGGCCCCGGTAACCTGGACGGAGACCCCCCCCCCCACTGCCGAGGTCCTGGGGTGTCCCCGTGTGTCCCCAGCCCCCCCAGTCCTAAAGGTCACTCTGATTTTCCTGGGGGTCCCCGTGTGCCCCTCCCAACACCAAAGGGCCTCTGGTGTTTTGGGGGGGGTCTTTGGGGGTCCCTCCTTCCCAATCCTGGTGGTCCCCAGGGTCGTGTGCCCCCCCCCAAATAAAATAAGAGTCGCTGCTGATTTTGGGCTCCCCCCCCTGTTAATGGTCGCTGTTTTTTGGGATCCCCAGAGACGCCCCCTCCCCATTCTGGAGGGTCCCCCCGCCCCCCCAAAAAAACCCTCGAGCCTCCCCCCCC